TCCCAGTGATTCAGTAAAGGCCATTAGAGTAGTGTTGTGGGAATAGGGAACTACTAACATAAAGATTTTCTTTCTTCTGGGTGAGCATGTCTGCAAATTAGTTTTCTTCTGCCACTTACATTTAGCAGAGGTCATGTACTGTGAAATGACTAACATACAACATGTGAGTAAGAACCTTCAATTCTCTCTTTTAAAAATTATGTTCAGGTGAACACCAGTATGCCTTCCTGGCATTAGTGCTTTATTGTTGGTATCTCTTTTGTTTGGGTGGTAAACCATAGCCGGTTCCAATAGTGTAAAAAAAAAAAAAAAATTGCACTTAAGCTGTAAGAGAGAAAAAGAACCTTTTAATTGCCTTTTAATTACTATTAGGAACAATTACCATTCCTCCAGAAAGTGGGAAAATGAACTGAGTGAAGAGTGCGAAACTGGGGTTGAATGTCTATTAGTGCATTGATTATCTATATGTAGATATATTTTGAAGTGGAGGTAAACTGTAGCATAGTTGGCTCTCATGTTTATATAGATTCATTCTAAATTTAACATTCTTTTTGAGAGACTTGGTGGTCATGTATATGGGGCATGCATTAAATGTAACTCAGTAAGAAACAGGAATCCTCCATGAAATCAAACACACATATTCTTCTTGGAAGAATTATGATAATTTCCACAAGTAAGAGGATACACTTGTTGGAAACTTGAAATGACCATTAATATCTATCAAAACTCCTTTGAGAATTTGAAAACTCTTTTCCTATTAAAATTAACGTGAAGTAGGCCTCTCAGGTTCCTAAAAATTTTGTAAATTCTCAACCCACATGGTCAGTGAAAAACATTAAATAAAAGAGAATTCAAAGAAAGGATATATAAATTGTGTGTCTTGTTCTTCGTTCTTCTGGGACTACCATAGAGGTTTTTCATTTAGTATATTTTTGTATCACAAAATAAAAAGAAACAAGTAGCGACATGACAGGTTCAAAACTTAAAGAAATTCAAAAAACACGAAAATTTCCCAGTTTTTCAAGAACTTTAAGACTTTGATTCATGTCAATGCTGTTCAAGAATGTTGAGAGATATGAAAATAAATTATTCTTTCCTTATTATTATTTGTGTTACCTTAACATGTGGAAAATTTCCTGGCTTAAATGCTCAGTACAGAATTATCACCCTAACTCTGAGAATATCAAGAACTGCAGCCACTTCACAACCTCTGTAAGACCAATGACCAAAGCTACATGTAAGGTACAGGTGTTACTAATGGGGGATGAAAGGAGAGAAGTAAACTTTACTCTCTGTCCGGTCCTGAATAAACTTGTGCACTACTCATACCCTTAAATTCTTAAAACATGGAAATAATCATTTAAGATAGTAGTACATGAATTTGTAAAGTAGTTCAAATTGTAGTTTTCCATGAGTAAATGAATTTTTTTTTTTTTTTTTACTAATTCCTCCAAACTGGCTAACTACTGGTGCACAAAAATAACTTTTCTGGATGCTTTTAAAAAATTTCTGATATTACAGAAATTAGTCATGCAGTCTGTGCTTGGACAGAATTCCTTCTAAAGTCAATGGCACTTGTGCCTAACTGCAGAACGTGGGAACATGCCCAAGAAGAGCATTCTATGCTTAGAAAGCATTTGTCTTTATATTCTGCCATTAGTCCAAATACAAAGTCTGGCAACTGCATTTCATGACACGTGCTGCTCCACTAGTTCTGTCTAGAAACAAGATCTTTTCTGTGTAAAATATTTTTGCTCTTTCAAATCAGTATAACAAACAACACGAGGAAAAATTATTTTCTCTGAAAACTTCTTGAATTGAAAATGCTGTAAATTTACAAATTCTGACATACGCCCTTTAAAACTTGTGCATCTAGTGTTTTTATTTTCATCATACATTACAAGTTATATCTGTAATGTTTAGAAATATTCTATTCCAGCAAAAATATGGCTTTTAACCAAATAAAAATGTAAAGCCAACTTGCTCTAAAATCCATCTGTTTTTCATTTTCTTATAATCTATAATCAGGAAATCCATTCATACATGACATATAATTTTTGCACTTTGAAGTGGATAGTGGAATGCGATGTCCTGCATACAGTCACATCTGAATTGATAATTGTCCAGGCAGAGTGTAATTTTAAAGTACAGGATGAAGGAAAGTTTAATTTGTATATTAGAAGTCTTATACATTTTTTTGCCCCTGAATGTAAATGAGGCCATTCTCTTCGGTGGATTTATCTGAAGGTGGGACAGCTGCCTCAGAGCAGGCCACAGCTTTCTGAGTAAAGAGGATATGGTTTAAAGAGCTGGTTTAAAAGCAGACTCTTCTTAACTGTAAACCACATGCATGCATTCATCATTGATTTTCAAATGACGGGTTTCTGTATCATTGGTTTAAGGTCCGCAGCCTTACATTCCTGAATCCGCATTATACCAAAAGAATAACAATTTGGTGGCTGGAAAGAGGAATGGTTATTATATGGCTCCA